TTTCGTACAATCGAACCCGGCATGTTTCACAGCGAATGAACGGTGTAGTGATAGCAAGTAAAAGAATGCACGACACGATTTCGTAGTTGAAGCCGTGGCCAGTGGAACGTTTTGTGGTGTTTGGACCGCATGATGAACAATGCGACCCAAATGGGGGATGTTAAAACCCTCTAGGCCCCGTGCCGAAATTGGGTAGCTGTTCTGAGGTCCTTGTTGGTGTTGCTTCCCAAGTTCCATTGATCGCCATTTGGCTCAAGACACAATTGAGGTTCAAGATCTGATGTGTGACTGCAGACATACGTGATCGGCATTGAGAGCAAAACAACTGCTTGCGCTGCATTCGTCAGGACCACTGTTGTAACTATCATTCCTTCTTCCTTACAACGTTTACACGGGTTCGGCTATAACGGCATCGTCCGTATACACCTTTCTACGTGGTTGGTATTAAAGCTTGAGGGTTCGGTGCACAGCGTCCCACGGGACGTCACCTTGCCGTCTCTTGACATAGAAGACCCTTACGCAAGTAAATCTGACATTCAAGCAGTATTAGACAGTAAAGCAGATAGTAAAGACACTTATGCCAAACAACAAATATATGCTAGCTTTTTGTGGCATAACAGCAACATATAACAAAACATAAATTCATGTATTGTCAAATAATATTAGTTCAAAAGCATATTCCATTCAAAACAATTCAACAACAATAGCAAGTAATTTAGTTGCTATTTCATCAAGTACATTTTTGATAAATATGTTTCAATTCTACTATAACAACTAATTTTAATAATACTGATTTAATTCTAATTCAATAACCGGACTACATAGCACCGTAAATTCACATATTTCGGCAATATCAGATTTACAGAATGGTGGTTCATTTTCTTGAAGCACATTATTTTAATAGAACATCAACTAATAATTTACTATCAGATAAGTTAGATACATCAATATTGAGTAATACATTAATACATAATGTAACAACCACAGCGACTTTTAGAATAGTAGAATTTGGAAATTGTAATTATTATCACGAATTATACAATAATTATATTGATACATATGCTTGCGGAAGTTTAACAGCTTCAACGATGTTATTAAATCTGCGAGGCGATGTAGAAATTAATAATTCTTCATTTCAACATGATAGAATAGTATTATATCATAATAGTATTGTATGATATAATAGTATTATATCATAAAGTATTTTGCAAGTATCAGGTTTATTTTCTTGTTCGTCTATTTAGATATAGCAGGTTCTGATGCTCGCTATGTTTTACAATCAGATGGATTAAGTGGATTAATAACAAGTAATACAAACCATTAACTCAATAATTACTGTCAATAGTTCACAGGATACATCATTAGGTGAAAAGTTAGACAAAATAGATACTAACGCTCAATCAGTAGCAGGTGCTATTAATTTTAGTGATAGTACAACTGTACATAGTAATGTAAATATGCTTACTACTTGCAGTAGTATATCTAATAAGTTGAAAACTACACCATCACCTGATTTAGGTTTACAGATGACATTTCAAATGTTGAATCATGAATTTAATATTAATAGAGATGGTAGAACGTGGATGAGTAGCGCAGGTGGTCAAGGGGAAACTCAAATAGGAGACGCTAATGTTGGTCGTGTGTGGGCTAAGGATAGGTTCGGTTTAGGTGCTGTTGGTGTCAATGGTTATGTTTTAAACTGTGCCGGTCAAGGCGCCGTCCAGTTTTTAGGTACTGACAATGCAATAAGTCTTAAAAATGGTTCATATTTGAATTTTAATAATAACGGTTCAATACGAAGATATACACCTGATGCGATAGAAGGTTTAGATATGGCTCAGAATAGTTTTGTTGCTGTGTGATGTTAGTAATGCCTCTAGTCAATATTTTATTTGTGATGGATTAGTTAATAAAACGAATTGTAATAAACCTGTTGATGTGTTAGGTAATATTGTTACAAATGCTGATGTTAATTGCGAGAATGTTAATTGCTCATATTTATCAACGTATTATGATGGAATTAATTTATCTACAGTTGATGTAATATTCAGAACAACGAACACTGCGTTTAGAGTGGCAGATAGTTCAATTCCACCTTCTTCGGTTTTATGATCTATTGATAAGGCATTTACAACAACAGTAAATACTGGCAGTTTTACACATACTGCCTCATCAACTCTTAATGAAAATGTAACAATTGCTTGAACGAAGAACTTGTTATGTAATTTATTTGAAACCAGCAACAGGAACAAATATAGATTTAACAGCAACGACAGTAACCATAAACGGAACATTTGTTGATTCAAGTGACTCACGATTGAAATATGACGTAGACAGTGTCAAATCTAACTGTATGAGCCTTATTCAGAAATAAAACCGAAGAAGTTGAAGAGACACGATAGAAATGATGGATGTACAACTCATATAGGTTATTTAGGAGACGAAGTATTAAAAGCAATTCCGAAAGAATTTGAAAATGTCGTTAGTAAAGATAATTAGTATGTAGGATTGAGCTATTTAGTTTTTCACGTGTTGGTTCATAAGGCAGTACTAGAGTTGAATGATCAGATAGCTAAACTTGAAAAAGATGTTGAGGAATTGAAAAAGGAAAAATAGAGTAGATGACAGAAACAAGAGCAGATACTTTAATAATTAAGTCTATTCAATAATGTGTATCAAGAACAGAAAACATAGAAAAAACAAAACAAACACAATTTTGTCATGCCATTCCAAAAGCCGATTTATGCAACTGGTCACTATCTTATATTAGCAATCTTAAAACTATTAGCATCATCAACTAAACAAATATGAGCAAATTTTCTAATAAAACTTTGTTTAACATCAATTGATTTTTGTTGATAGTATACTTTTCAATTGTAATGCAATGAAACAATCCTGAAGACTTATATACATAGATATAGTATCTTGAATGTCTTCGTTAAGAAAATATTACATATCCAATAAATTAGTTGATGTTAAAGTACGATTAGGAACATGACTCAAACATTTAAGTGAAGCACAAGTAACAAATATCTCATAAACAATTTCTAAGTTTAATGTTTTAGACTTTTGATGTTATTTTTCTAACTCACTTGAATTTAGAATATATGATGTTACATTATTTATATCAATACTGTCAATTTCAACAATAGTGTATATTTTGTAATTTGTAAGAATTATGTAGTGGTGATTTTAATAATCCAGCATCACCTGAATTATAAGATAAATACGTTTATTTTCATGTCTGATGGTGAATCATAAAGTATCATATAGTATTACCATATGTATTTATTTAGTTATTAGTATTCCAAAAATGTGAAACGTTTTTCATAAAGATACGGTTAGGGTCTTTTTGGAGAAGGTCAGTATATAAAAAACAAATGTGGTTCACCAGTGGCGGTCTCATATATTTTATAAATTGGTTTCTTGCTTTAGCGTAAGTTATCGCTTCTAGCAATTGCTGATAGTTCATTTTGTAATATTTCAATTTCTTTGAAGTTTCTAATTTTATAATAAAACAACCGACGCATATTTACTCTAACAAGCCCGAATATTTTAACATGCATAAAATAATAAGAATATTTGTAATAATTGATCTTATTATTTATATGAATAGAAGTTATTCAGAATACACATATATATATGATAGATGAAGTAGAGAATATAGAACAAGTAATGACAACTGATAATAAAATTTGACAAATTGGTATTATTCGTTAGAATAAATTAAGCTAGGAATACAATATATCAACAATGTAAATGTACATACCAATATGAATGGGAAAAACAAAAATAATAGGACAGAAACAACGGTTTCATCAACACATGAAGACAGTGAAGAAGTGATTAATCAAACAGCAGTTATTGAGTTTGCTTGTCCGATGTGTAAAATGATGGTAGAACTTGAAAATGAGCTAGAAATACAAAAGAAAGGAACTTGTCAACGTTCTTGTGTGCCTATCGGTTTTAAGGTCAGTAAGAATGATAAGAAAATGAATATTGATAAAACCAAAGACAGCACCAATTTAGAAAAAGACGTTCATAATATAACTTTTAGATGGGGGAGGCAAGCAACACCTTCCGATAATGGTGATAATGAAGCACGGAACACTACACGTGAAATGATGAACAGTTAGTATATAAAGAGTGACTTTAACGCCACTTCAAACGCATAAATAAGTAAATAAATAAGTAATGAGATAAATACATATCGAAATGTTTGTATATAGAAATGCCAGAAAATGAAAGGTTTACAATTACTGATTTAATGAAACAACTTGTTTATTTTAAAGCATTGACCGAGCTTGTTAAGACTATTGATGATAAATTAGATGCTAAGGCAGGTGAACCAAAAACAACAAAGAAGACTAAGATAGAATGGATAACATTTTTGAGAAGCGCCAAATCGGGCGTCCGTCCGGCAGTTTTCAAGATAAGCAAAAGCAATATATGGATATGTTAAATAAGAAAAAATCAAAGTCCGAAGCAGGACACTGTTGAATTTTATAAATCGTTTAAGAACGAATAAGGAACATATGAAATATTATAATAAATTTCAAATAGTTTAATAGTGGGACAGGTAGTGTGGGACATATTGCAAGGTCGCTCGGTTTTAATGAAATATAGTTGGACTTGAAAAATGCTGATATCAATTTTTGTAATCGTTCAAGAGGCAAAGCAGCTATTATCAACATCTAAACAAAGATAAGCATAAAATGAATTTAGAAACGAAACAGACAGAATAAACATGACATTTGAATATGTAATATAATTTAAAATTGTATAAGATGAATATGTAATATAACTTATTATCCTTATATGACATTTGATGGATATTTCGTAAAATTATTCAACTACTGCGCATAATATATATTTCTATTTTTAGGGGAGCGCGAGGGGAACGCGAAGGGAACGCGAGGACGCGAGCGAGCGGAGAGAGAGAGGCCGAAAGGCCGAAAGCCCGAAGGGCCCGAAAGGGAGAACGGCCGGAGATTGGCCAGGCGCCTCTGCCCGTGGCGGTGTTCTTCCCGGGCCAGGGCTCGCAATACGCCGGCCCGACATGTCGACATGTCACACATGTCACACATGTGACTCACATGTCGCTGTTCCTTTGGCTCAGGTCAAGATGCTGGAAAAGGTAGCAGACCTCCCACCTGTCAAAGACATGTTGGAGAAGTCCAAGCCCATTCTGGGCTATGACATTTTGGACATTTGCATGAATGGGCCCGAAGACAAGCTGGAGGAGACCAGGTACTGCCAGCCCGCCATGTTCATCGGTGGCCTTGCCGGGCTTGAGAAGCTGAGACAAGAAAAAACAGAGGCGGTGGACCGGGCAGCTGTGATGGCTGGCTTGTCACTAGGCGGGCGTCCACATGCTTCAGCTTAAACATCAAGTTCAAGGCGTCTGTTTTTCTTTTTCGCAGGTGAGTACACTGCTCTCTGTGCAGCTGGCGTCATGAGCTTTGAGGATGGGCTGAAGCTGGTCAAGCTGCGAGGTGAGGCGATGCAGGAGGCAGCTACGTCGCTCAGATTGCAAACGCCAGCGTGCGCCTTGTGCAGTCACTTCCCTCCCTGAAAGGGCTTTGCGATTTTTTGGTCGTTCCTTCGGATTTCTTGGACGTCGACTTCTCTCTTTTCTTTTCTTTTCCTGGACTCTTTTCTCTCTTCTCTTTCCGGACTGAGGTCCGGCAGCAAGAAGCAGCTGATGCTCTCGGTGGCGGGCCTGGAGCGGGTGAAGCTGGAGCCGCTTTGCCGGGAGGCTGCCACTAAGGAGGCGACAGCCGGAGATGGAAGGAATCCGAAGGAATCCAAAGCAAAAGGAGTCCACAGCAAAACGAATGGAGTCGAATGGATTCGAATTGAATCACAATTGGAGAGACCGACTTTGAGAGTTCGGAGTGGGTGGGGTCTGGGGTTGTCTGGGCTTGTTTTCGGCAATGGGTTACAAGTCAAGGGAAGCGAAGGGGGTCACTTTGCTTCAGGCTCTCGCGCCTGCTTTTGGCATGGAATCGAATCACTTTCTTGCACATTTTACACATGTTGCATTTTGTTGCATTCACTGAAAATGAAAAAATAAAACAATTCCATATGCTTTTTGAATTTGGAGGGCGACGGCGTGTGCTCCGTGGCCAACTGCCTCTTCCCCGGCGGATTCTCCGTGGGCGGCACGGAGCAGGCCGGACGCCTCGGACGCCTCGGACGCCTCGGATTCTCGCTCGGATCGAGTCTCGAGGCCATCAACACCCTGAAGGACCTGGCCGAGAAGAACGGCGCTCTCCAGGCAGAAGAAAAGAGAAATGAGTGAGAAAAAGACGAGTCTCTGAAAAGAAAAAGAAGACGAGAAGAAGACGAGTCGACGAGTGAAAGAGAAAAGACGAGTCGACGAGCTGACATCATTTGAGAGAGACTGCGAGATATCGAGTCGACTGGTAGGCCAAAGTCTTGAAGACGGCTGGCGCTTTTCACACATCTCTCATGCAGCCGGCGCAGGAGCACTGCACGCAGGCTGCACGTTGAAGTGACGCCTTTGGATCATTTCGGATCCAGGATCGGCTCTCTGCTGCACTTGAAGAGACGTTGCCCAACATGAAGCCGCCCTTGCACACGGCGCCGTGGGCGGAATCCGAGTGAAAGCGAAATGAAGATCATTGAAGCACCTTTGGTGTTTATCGTTGCAGCAATTTCGCAAAGCGATGGACTGCAAGGTGTGGATGAATGCGTCGGCCCAGCCGATTCGTCCTGGCACCGACCCCAAAGAGATCGTCGCTTTGCTGCAGAGGCCAGACCCGACGGTCGCAGACGGTCGCAGACGGTCGCAGACGGTCGCAGACGGTCGCAGACGGTCGCAGACGGTCGCAGACGGTCGCAGACGGTCGCAGACGGTCGCAGACGGTCGCAGACGGTCGCAGACGGTCGCAGACGGTCGCAGACGGTCGCAGACGCTTAGAGCTGTTAGAGCTGTTAGAGCACATGCACCGCACTTGGAATCGGAGGCAGTTGACGAACCCCGTGCTTTGGGAAGACTCTGTCAAGGCCATCATGAAGGAAGGGGTCAAGGAGTAAAGGCCTGAGTATATCATATGAGCTCATACGCATATGTTACACATATGCTGCATGTTACATATGTTACAGCTGAGGTTCTATGAATGCGGCCCTATGAAACAGATCAAAGCCATGATGAAGCGCATCGACCCTGCAGCTCCCCAGTTGCAAAGAAAGAAATTTCACGTTCCGAGAAACGGGGCCGACGGAGACAAACGGAGCCGAGGCATGGAAGGCGACCACCAACATCGAGGTTTGAGTCGGCGAGTCGAGTCTTTTCCTCTAGTCAAGTCTAGTCATTCATTCTAGTCGAGTCTAGTCTTTTGATGTCTTGTGAGAATCAGACTGGAGTCTGAGCAAGCAAGCTCTTCCCAGCCGCACACGGCATTTTGGCATCTCTTTTCCGTGAGAAAAGCTGCTTGCCGCTGGCATCCGACTTTTCTATTGTTATGTTTCTGACTTTGCCCACTTCTCTGTTTCGGTCTTTTGCCCATGTAGGCCTTGTCCCCACTCTTGGCCGGGAGCCTCGGCACGAGAGCTGCCATGGCTTCACATTCCTGTCTCGCTGAGGGCTGCCTCGAGGATGTCCGGAAACAGGGAAAGCTTCACCAGCTTCAACCGGAAGGTGCGATCGACTCGAGATGTTTTGATATGTTTTGCTTTTCTCCCATCTCCCGACTTAGGTCTGCAGAAGAGCCCTAGCAATCGAAGCTTCAGCGGCGTCGAGCACGACATCAATATCAGGACGCTGCGGCGGCTCAGCGCCCCGCTGCAGGTTGTGCGCCCCTGAGAATCTCCAAACTTCAAGAGCGATTTGTCGATTTGTTGATTTCGAATCGAGAAACAACAAATGAGACAAATCGACAAAATACACCAGCGTAGACCCCAGATAGCAAAAAGCATGCCGACGATTGCACTTGGCCGCGCCGTCACTAGCACTTCCAACAGCACATGAAACAGCATCCCAAACTGCATGCCCCCATGCCCCCTCGCACCCCGATCTCGCAAGCGAAGTTCGACACGAGGCCCGAGCGGCCATCAGCGCGAACCGAGCTGCTCGGTGCGCCTCTCAGGGCCCTCGGGGCCTCGGGGCCTCGGGGCCTCACCTCGCAGGCTGAAGCGTGCGACGGCCAGTCCTGAGACGAGCGAGGAGACGCGAGACGCGAGCTTGCGATGCGATGCGGGATGCGAGACGCATACGAGACGCACTGCCAAACCATGCATTCGGAATCCAGGAGGTTGACGAGTGCCGGCCTGATAGCCTGACACTGAGAGCGCCCTGATGATGCTTCTCAGCCCAGGCAGCCCCGGCGGAAATCTGTGGCGCTGACAACTTCTTCGCGGTGCGGAACCGTGTCTGAATGTTCCCATGAACATGACTCAAATAGCTCAGGCCCGCTGTGAATCAGGCTTTGGACAAGCCCGCAATCCGGGAGAGATGTAGTCCTGCATGCCAGGCATCGCGCATACCGACCTTCTTGAGGCAGGAGACGCTTGAGACACGTCTGGGTGTGCAGACCTGGTTTTCAGGATGGACAACGGCGGCACTGAGGAAGGGTGGCAAGTGTCCCAAATTCTCGGTTCTTTGACTCGAGCCGCAGGACTTGGACAAAGTGGACGTCGAAGAGGCTTCATGCGATCTGAATTGTGAGACTTGCCATGCGGCGCGTTCAGGTGGGTGCAAGGCGGGTGCGGGCTGCACTAGCAGTTGCAAGATTTTAGCAGTCAGATTGCGTGAGATTTGCAACTGGAGCTCAGGGCGGCTCAAGATGGACTACATTCCGGCTCCGACTGGGTGCAGAGAATGGCTGACGGTGCTGCTGGGCCTTGCAAGCTGCTTCCTCTTCTCTGGGATACTCTTTGGATGGGCTTCCTGGCAAGCCTTGCTAGAGGATGATGGCGTGTACGCAGGCGCAGATGAGACAGATCGCCAAAGCCGCATGGTCTTGCTGTACACCGTTGGCACAACCTCTGCCACCATTGCGCATGCCATGGTCACCTTCATCATGGACAACGTCAGCCCAATTTTGCTGGTTGCGTGCGGAGGACTGCTGGAGTCCGTGGGGCTTTTCCTGGTGGGCGTGGGGGACGAGGCCCTATTGGTTGGCTTTGGGCTGATCGGGGTCGGGGGTGCGGCTCTCATGGCCCACGCCCTGAAGCTGCCGTTTTTGGTTCCGCGGCACTTCGCGGCAGTGATGACGGTGGCGAACTGCCTCATCGACGCCTCCGCAGCGCTGCCCGTGGCGCTGTACCGCCTCCGCACCCTCGCCGCGAGCGCCGACGGCTCCGACGGCGCCGACGGCGCCGAAGGGACCGCGGGGTCACCGGGGTCACCGGGGTCACCGGGGTCACCGGGGTCCCGCGGGCCGCTGGTCTTCGCGTACGGCGCCCTGTGCCTGGCGCTGAGTGCCGCGCTGGTCCTCAGCTGGCGCGGGGGCCCCAGCGCCCGCCTTGCGGCGCAGAACGCCGCTGAGGAGGCCTGTGTCACAAAAGCGACGGACACGGAGACGGACAACTGCGAGCAAAAGACGAGGCAGAGGCACGAGCATGGCCGGCTACACGGGCTGTCGCCGTGGACTCAGCTTTGGTCCTTCGAGTTTGCGTTTGCCTTGGTGCTTTTCACCACACACGCCACTCAGCTGGATTTTGACATGTGAGCTCTTTGAATGTCAAATGTGAATGCATATTCTTGGTTTTGCTTGAGTATAGCTCAGGTTTTTTGCGCCAATAGTTATCTGGGCTACAACAAGATTTTGTTGCAGCAGCTCGGCGACGACAACACGTATACCCAGCTCTTCACGGCACTGCTGCCGGCGTCGGCGGTACTGGCGCCCGCCTTCAGCGCGCTGCTGCGGTTCGGGGGCTTCGCGTGGGCCTTCGGGTTGACGAGTGGTCTGGGCTTCGTGTGGACCGCGGTGAGTGGTTTGTGTCCTCTCAAGGTCCAGGTGGTGGCCTTTGT